AGATCCAGGAAGCCCCTGGGGAGGGAGCTCGGCAAAGACAGGAGGTGATTAGAGAGAGGAATACTTGAGAAAGGGGGCAAATTGAGGGATAAAGGTATTCCAAGGTGGAAATGAAAAGCCAGAATTGACCAATTAGGATGGAGCAAGTGTGAGAGTTACCGAGAATGTGATGTAGCCAGTGCAAAGGCAGAGCTGGAAGAGAGAGGAACTTGGAGAGCAAGAGAGTTGAAGAGCAGACCCAAGGAGAGCAGAAGGGAGATTTCAGAGGTGAGGACACCAGGAAGATAGGGATGGGGGTAGGAGGGCGAGACATGAAAATGGAGGGAAGACAGGCCAGGAGAGCATCTGAGACAGATGCCTGCAAAGGCAGGGAGGAGGGGAGAATAAATAAAGGTGGGAAGGAGAGGAGAGAGGCTTGGACAGGGCCTGAGTCAGAACAGTGGGAAGGGGGAGGATGGGAAAGGAGGGCTAGAACTTTATCAATCACGCTGAACATATTGTAAAGGCTTTTTACTTTGTAATAAAGTTACATTTTCAATCGCAATTCTTTAAATTTTTTTTTTTTTTTTTTCGAGATGGAGTCTTGCTCTGTTGCCCAGGCTGAAGTACAGTGGTGTGGTCTCGGCTCACTGCAACCTCTGCCTCTCAGGTTCAAGCACTCTTCCTGCCTCAGCCTCCCAAGTAGCTGGGACCACAGGTGTACACCACCATGCCTGCCTAATTTTTGTATTTTTAATAGAGATGGGAGTTCACCATGTTTCCCAGGCTGGTCTCGAACTCCTGACCTCAGTGATCTGCTTGCCTCCCAAAGTGCTAGGATTACAGGTGTGAGCCACCGCGCCTGGCCACAATCACAATTCTTTTTGCATCTTAAAACGCTCAGAAGTCTGTTTATCACATGACTGTTGAATCAGCTGTTTTATTTTGGCTTCAGGGCACTTTTCTGATAGCAACATTGACCTTCATTGCAAACTTAATTTTTAAAAATACATACAAAACACCTGAAAGTACAGGTGAGTAAAGCATATGAGAAGCTTATTTTTTGTTTGTAGATAATTAGGCCTCTAATTCCACTACTACTTCACAAGTGAAACAAGCACACTCATTTTACCCAAAGAATGTTGAGTTATATGTTGACCAAATAAGTAAACCAAGCCATTCTGGGCTCTTAAATAGATATGTACTCCTAAAAATTAGGTGCAGTTTTTGTTGCATAACTATTTATACAAAACCATTCTTTGTTAATTGAATTTTATTTGGGTTACTATATTCCGGAATTAAAATGTGCCATTTTTCTTTTTCTTTTTTTTTTTTTGAGACGGAGTCTCGCTCTGTCGCCCAGGCTGGAGTGCAGTGGCCGATCTCAGCTCACTGCAAGCTCCGCCTCCCGGGTTCACACCATTCTCCTGCCTCAGCTTCCCTAGTAGCTGGGACTACAGGCGCCCGCCACCTTGCCTGGCTAATTTTTTGTGTTTTTTAGTAGAGACGGGGTTTCACCGTGTTAGCCAGGCTGGTCTCGATCTCCTGACCTCGTGATCCGCCCGTCTCGGCCTCCCAAAGTGCTGGGATTACAGGCTTGAGCCACCGTGCCCGGCCAGAAAATGTGCCATTTTTCAATATCAACCTATTAGAAAGCAGCATCCCAATTTTGCCTCTAAAATTCACATGGCAGGCAATTTTGTCACTTCCAGTGAGAGGCCTTAAAACTCTTTGATTGGCCGGGCGCGGTGGCTCAAGCCTGTAATCCCAGCACTTTGGGAGGCCGAGGCGGGCGGATCACAAGGTCAGGAGATCGAGACCATGGTGAAACCCCGTCTCTACTAAAAATACAAAAAACTAGCCGGGTGCAGTGGCGGGCGCCTGTAGTCCCAGCTACTCGGGAGGCTGAGGCAGGAGAATGGCGTGAACCCGGGAGGCGGAGCTTGCAGTGAGCCGAGATTGCGCCACTGCACTCCAGCCTGGGCAACAGAGTGAGACTCCGTCTCAAAAAAAAAAAAAAAAAAAAAACTCTTTGATTACATCTGGTCATATTTATTCACAGTAAGATGAGCACACAAGTAAGCATCTGTTGTGAGATGTATTTAGCTGGTGTCTTCTGGGATAACACGTCTCTAAAGGTTTTAACTCCCATGTTCCCAATCTTTTTCCTTCTCCCTCACAGTGGACTTCATTCAGCCCGCAAGCAGGTCAGTATTTGGGATGACTGGCCTGAAATATACTTGATTTTCACAACTGTCCACAGCATGAATATAAAGGTGTGAAATTAAAATTCAGATGGAAAACCTTTTCTCAAGTCAGAGTGGCAAAGTGAAACTGACATCCCTAAGAAAGGACCATGCCAGGCGTGCCTTGAGCTTGGCCACTAGGGGGCAGTCAAACACTGCTCCCCTCAAAATACTGTTCAGGCCCAATTTTGGATAACCTGTTTTGGAGGTTAAGCAAATTATTTGAGTAAGTAGCAATTGGTAGTTACCAAGTAGCAGCCTCAATACTTCATGCTTTTAATTTCCTACATAAGCCCATGTTTTTGATTTGTAATATGGTTCCTAATTTGGCCATTAAGAAATGTTTTTTAAAAGTTTAAAGTTATTTTTAATAACTTTATTTTAGACAGGTTTACTCTTAGAGACAGATACTGTTTTTAGATCTGCCTGTGGCTTTGTAGTTCCCAGTTTAATTATGTTAATGCGAGATAGTTAGTAACAATTACTTGAATTTTATGGACATATTTCAACAGGTTGAAATTCCACAAAACATAATTGGTAGTTACCAAGTAGCAGCCTCAATACTTCATGCTTTTAATTTCCTACATAAGCCCATGTTTTTTATTTGTAATATGGTTCTTAATTTGTCCATTAAGAAATGTTTTTTAAAAAGTAGTTTGAAGCTGGTTAACAAAGATATACAGTGAGTAAATTAATGATAAAATACATGTAATAATAATAAGATACGTTATGCGTAGTTGTCTATTAGTGCCTGGGGTAGCTTAAGGCAGTCAGTCACTCATTCCTTAGGCACTCCAGAATGATGAGGGTCAGAGGAGAACAGACGATCACATCATTTCTAATTTTCTGTTTTGTTTAGATCTGGCCTAAGAGTTTATCACAAATATTATTTAAATTAAAAAGACAACCCTTACTTTTAGGCAATTCTAAATGAGCTTTCTTTGGTTACTATGAAAAGCCTTACCGTTTTAATTGTCCACAATTTTATTGTGAAAAAGGAAAAAGTTTTACTAATTATAGAGCAAATCCTATTGTTTTTATAAGTAGCAATAAAATGTCAAAGTATTGATTAATGTGTCTTGCTTTGAAAAGAAATCATTTTAAACATAAAGGTTTAAATTAGTAGTCAACAGTAATACAAAATTAGAAAATAAAAATTCCCAGAGATTATAATTAATCAACAAATATTTGTTAGGTTGGTACTAGGAGTTTGAAATATGGCTTTTACTTAGAAATAAAATCAAACGAAAATTACTAATTGAAATTTTGTTTTTAGTTGAAAGGGTGACTTTACATTATGGTAAATCACAAAATGTTATTTTAGTAGTAGATGTTTTTCATCTCATAAACGGTTTAAGCAAAATCAATTAAATGCATTATCATGTGTAAAAGCAAAAATATAGTAAAATTGGTTAAACTATGGTTACAGTCCTGTACATTAAATAATTTTTTAAAGGGCACAGATGATCTCTATGACTTGTCTTAAATCCAAGAACCTACTTTGTAGCTATATATTCTTAAAATCGTATAAAATTGAATATTCAAATGTGGAGAGAACATGAACTTCTGAAGTAGGACCTTAAATAGGACCTTAAATAAAGAAATAGACTGCTGGCTACAACTGTATTGCATGCCAGGTGAGTTCATATATTGTTTCTTCTTAATTAACACTAAGTTTTTCATGTAAGGTATATTAAAATATAAAATAAAAGTCATGCTAGGTGTATGGAGATATGTATTTTAAATATTTGAAGTTTTAGTATTCTTTTAAATTCAAAATAAAATTTAGATATTTTAAGTCTTTTAAAAATCTTTTGTTTGTTAGAAGTTTTAAAATAATTCCTCATAAATATTGCACTTTGTTTCAAGATTTAAAATATTCACTTGGAATTCACTTAATAAAACTGAATATTTAAAAAACCTAAAACGAATTTTTCAGAAAATAAAAATAATTTCAAATTTTAACCTTTATTCTCAGAGGTTTATCAAAATTCTTTAAGAAAAAATACAAATTAAAATATAAACATTTTTGAATGATAATAAACCTCAGCAAACCTTGGGTATGATTAATAGGTTGTTTATGAATGTATAGGCTGATAACGAATCTTTTCCTTTAAAAGCAAGTGAAGATTTAAGTTTTATTTTTTGGTGAGCTTTACAATGAAAATGGTGCTGACTTGAAAATTAAGAGTTTGACTGAAATAAAAATTTCCACAAATTAAAAACAAAAGAAAATTATCTAAGTAAATGCACTTTTACAGACTTTTAATAACTTTATTTTAGAGAGATTTACTCTCAGAGACAGATACTGTTTTTTAGATCTGCCTGTGGCTTTGGAGTTCCCAGTTTAATTACATTAACGCAAGATAGTTACTAACTAACAATTACACGAATTTTATGGACATATTTCAACAGGTTGAAATTCCACAAAACACAATTTTAGTTTATTAATTTGTCATACTTTTTAAAACAAATGCCAAAAATATTTTCTGCATTTTAATTGATGTAGTCAACATTGTTTTTTGACATACTTTATCTACAGCTTAATAACATACAAAGGCATGTTTCCATGAAAAATTTGTTACATCTAAAAATTACTAGGCTGTATGGGACTAAAAGCAATGAAAGGTAATGACAAATACAAAGCAAATTTGATGTCCGTTTTTTTTTTTTTTTTAAACACCCCAATACATTTTTTACAATTGCCATAGAACTACATAGAAATGTATTTTTTGGGAATTGCACTCATTTAAAGCGAGAAAGTAGCAGCCTTACCTTTGACATTGATCAGAACGATGAAATGAAGTAGAAAGAACATTGTAATCAATCTGAGGCTGAAGAGATGTTTAAAACCAGAAAAATAATCATAGGTTTATAGCAATTGAGTTATTAGACGTATCCTCCTCATACCTCAGCAGGAGTTCTGATGTAGTAACTTCAGTGCCTCCCATGTTCTGAGCATGCTCACAGCTAGAACTTTACTGGCATGAGGGGAGACGGATTCTTGTCACTATGCAGGCTGTCTTTTTCGTTCTTTCTTTTTTGTTTCTTTTAGTTTAAATCTACACTTGTGTTCTTGATCACTAATTCATTATGGTGTGTAAAAGGAAGTGTAATAGGACTTTGATATTATTCGATAAGAAACATTTTTTAATCACTTAAAAATTTTTTTCCTCCAAAGCATGTACAACAATTTGCTGTTATTTAAATCCAAACATATATCGAAGTTCTTAAATATGAAGGATATAGGCTTACACTGAATAGGCTATGAAACTCTTTACAATTATATTTTCATGCAATAAACAAATGTCAACAAGCTGCTTACTTACAGATACACAAAGAATACCCACTTCTATTCAAATGTACTTACATTTTTTCAAATGACATATAACAAGATAATTTAAATATATGGCGTTGTGTTAAATAATTACTGTAAAACATTCATACAATATTTTCACTTCACATACTTCCCCCATAATCATATTCCTTTTTCTTGAAGTGAATAATTGTATTCTTCCTTCCAGCTCTGTATTGCACACCTATTAGAAAACACTAATTATAATTTAGTTCTTACATCCTGAAAGCAGCTTTCTCAACAGCATAGTTAGTACAAGTTAAAGTATAAAAAGGGACTTTTGGTTGTAGGATTCTGTTGATCCCAGTGTAATCATTAAGACTTCTCCAAAAAGATGTAGAATTTCCATGTCTGAGTTTATATTTTACTAACAGCGAAATATCTATCTAGAATACAGTTTGTAGTTCTGATTTGGAGAGAAGATTTTGTGACTGAACGATGCAGATTCTCTTATATATTGTTGTTAACTGTGTGCTAACAACACTGAAAAAACTATCTTGTAGTGACTATTGTCATCACAAATCATAAAATATGGGGTTTTCCTTGTTCTTTCTTTCATTGTAGCCTTTGAAAGAACAAGGATTCAAACAGAATTTACAATAAAAAATACTGTATTTATCACATAATGTATTTAGTTCTTTTCTCTTTTTAAGAAGTGAGTTAAATTCCCTAAGACACCTCCCAGATACATTTATATGTGGTCTCATCTGATCTTTCAAATCAAAAGAAAAAGCAACAGAGAGAATAAAGATGAAAAGAAATACTTCAAGATCTTTTCTTACATTTCAAGCATCTTTTTTTCCCTCACTAACCTCGAGGCCTTTTTAGGTAAAAATTACCTTATTTCACTTAAAGGAATAATTAGTTTTTCTCACGTTTTGTGTTTTGCTGTCGAGATGATGGATGCTAGTTTCTGGTACTGAAATTTTGAGCATGAGTTTTTAAGTGCAATTAAATACCATGAATTGTCCATCATAAGTGTATTTGAAGTACAAATATATTTTCTATGAAAATGTAATTTTTGGAGAAATAAGAAATGTCAAGATGTCAAAGAAATTAGTTTAGATTTCTTCATGGTATTGTTATTCCTTTCTGTGAGGCTTTTCAATGTTAATCTTTGAAATATATTAACACAAACATTCAGGAATCAATAATTATAAATAATAGTAACATCTTTGGCTCACTGGTTTTTATAGGTAGAATATGCAAGCTTTGAAATACCATTTCATTTAATATGTTTTAACTTTGACTTATCTGGTGTGAATATCCAGTCTTTTGCACTGAAACTGAAATGATTGACATTTACACAGGGATATAATATATGTGTTTAAATAAGAGTGAATGAATTTACTCTATTCTTAGAGCCACAGTTGGTAAGGAGGCTCCAGAGAGTGCTTCATGCAGAGCTGAGACGAAAGACTTGTGCAAACTGAATCCTCACTGGATAATTAACTTTGAATCTGCACAAGTGTATTTTATTGATCCTTGCCTGAATCAGCTCATCCCTTCATCCCAGTCTCCTGTTGGTAGGACGCTTACTTTTAGCAATAATACTATAAAAGCTCATGTGAATATATTATTTACTGTACAAAACAATTCAATATAATTCTGGCTAATTCAAGGGAATTTATTTACTGAAAGCATTAATTACCTAGTTCTATGTGGTGGGGGGAGGGCGCAGACATTTTCTTAGCTTCTACTGTCATTTTTATATACATCTTGGAAACTATTGTTAAATATAAAATTCTTAAATCAAGAACATAATTTATTTAAAAATGGTCAGAAACCCTAATTTTAACACATTTTCATGATTGCGTGATTGTTTTTTATATAGGGCATAATTCATTATCTTTCCAAATTAATGTTTTCAATTAAGATATTTACTAAACACTTACTCTACTTAGTGAGAGTATAGCCTTGTAAACATTTCTCACTTCTATAGCCTTTTCACTTTATATAGCCTCTTATTCACCAAACCTGATCCATTAGCAGTTAGTATCACTTTCTGTTTTGGGGAAAACCAGACATACTGATATTCAAAGAACAAATTATATAAACAGGTAAGATCTGTCCTCAAAAAGTTAAATTATAGAATAATAAACATCCGAATCCCAAGCTCATGATAGCAGGCCAATAATGGCAATGTTCCCTTGAATAGCCTCCTTACCATAAATCAAGTTATAGTAAAATCTGAGTAATTCGGCCATACTAGCTAAGTATTTGTGATTATAACTATGCATTAGCCTTTATATGTGAGATTATAGCATTGTCATTATTCAGTAAGATTTATTTGCACCCTGTGGGCACAGCAAACCTAGCAATCACCTAATCTCATCAGCATAGTCAACATAGTGTGTCCATCAGTTGAGCAAACCAGTTCTGGCACAGGGTCCATTTTGATTAAGAAAGTCTAAATTAAGGGTTTTTTTTTTTTTTTCTTTTTTTAGACAGGGTCTTGTGCAGTGGTGTTATCATTGCTCACTGCAGCCTCAACCTCCCAGGCCCAAACAATCCTTCTACCTCAACCTCCTGAGTAGCTGAGATCACAGGTATATGTGACAACATCCACTAATTTTTCGTATTCTTTTTTTGTAGACATGGGGTCTCCCTATGTTACCCAGTCTGGTCTTGAACTCCTGGGCTCAAGCAATCCTCCCACCTCAGCCTCCCAAAGTGTTGGGATTATAAGCATAAGCCACCATGCCTGGGCTTAAGTGTTCTAATTTTGATGTTATAAGTTTAAAATAATTTAAGTCATGCTCCATTTGTCTGGGAATTTCAACTCTTGGCAAGCTCAACTATTAGGAGCATAGCCACGAACCCAGAGTAAAAAATAACCCTGAGACATCCACTACTGGCAGTGTGGTAGATTAGATACACTGAAAAGACTTCTTGCTTGAAAATGCTGTAACAGCTCCTGCATAAAACAATTTTGTTGCATTTCTGGAGTCTTCAGAATGAGGGGAATCGAGTCTAAAGGGAAAATACATGACAAAAATAAAAACCAAATGCCGAAATGGCAATGGAGCACAGTAAACAAATGTAAAAGGCAAGATTGGTTTGCAAAAAATGCAGATAGCAGCACTACAACTTTTAGGCCTTGAGTCAGTGGCCAAATCTGAGAGCTAAGCCAGAGCTTCCTCGAAGGATCAGGCTAAAGACTATGAAAGGCAGTGTCCTGTAGCACCATTGCAAAAGAAATGCAAGCTCCATAATAAAAATATCCTTAATTGAAACCCCTACATTTTATCCAGGTTAAAATCAACTAAATATGAGCTCATTATCAAAGATCAACCAGGGATATATGGGTAAAAGTTGACAGAAACAAAGCAATAAATTTAGAACCCCACGTACTTCAAATATTGAGATGATCAGTTATGGAATGTAAAATATTTAAAGACTGCAATTACAAGAATAAATAAGGAAAAGAAACCATCAAAAAGCAACAAAGAGAATTTTCAGAAATGAAAAATATGTTCCTAAAATTTTAGAACTCAATGGATGCGGTAAAGAGCTGTCAAGACATAGTTGATAAAATAAGTTGTAAATGGAAATAAGGGAGTGAAGAAAGTTCCCAGAAGGCAGCATAGATAAACAGGGAATGGAAAAAAAAAAATGAAAGAAGAGACTAGGAGGAAAGCAGGAAAAATTTCAACACACAGCTAATTATAGTCCCCACAGGAGAAACTAGTGAGAATGAAGAGGAGATAATATCTGAGGAGATAATTATTGAAAATTTTCTAGAACTGATAAAATACAAGAATTTATAGATATAGCAAGGACAACTTCTGCTAGGCAGGACAAATAAAATGAATCTGTATTTACACATTCAGTTTTGAAATAGTATAATAAAAAAGAAACCAGAGGGAAAAGACAGATCACCTACAAAGGGAAAATTAGAATGTTAGCAGACTTGTCAACAACAGCAATGAAAGCCAGAAGTGTAGTAATGCTCACAGTTCTGAGAAAAAATAACTGACAACTAAAGATTGTGTACCCCACAAAACGATCTTTTAACGGGAATGTAAAATAAAGTCATGCACAAGATATATGAATACTAAGAAGTTAGGTAAGAACCAAAATGAAAAACGCAGACCAAAAGTTTGATAGCGTTTCAGGGAGGGGAACAATCTGAGTTGCGAAGGTCATTAGGTGAAACCTCAGCTCTGTCCCTCTTGATTGATGGATTGAGAGATTAAGAAATAGTGTCAACTATTCTCCCGGTGGTATCAAGGCACACACGCCAAAGTAAGTCTGAAGGGTAGAAGGAAGTAAAACAGATTCTTGCTTCTGTGTGAAACTGAGAGCCTCCTCAGGTGCCTGTAATCCCAGCTACTGGGGAGGCTGAGGCAGGAGAATCACTTGAACCCAGGAGGCGGAGGTTGCAGTGACCCAAGATTGTGGGCTAGACCAAAAACTGGGTGGATACTCAAAAAGCATATTAGAGATATTATGGTATATTCGATTATTGTTTCCAATTATTCCACTCCCTGTAATAAGAGTATGTGTCCCCACAT